TAAACCGGTAAATAAAAATAAAAAAAGTAATTACATTATTTTATTCAAGAAGAAAACTTGAAATATTTTCTCTGACCTACACTGGGTAATATTGATTCGTTTATTTTTGTTCCGACATGAGAATATTGCTCAGATGGTTTTGTTGTGTTTGCCATACTTGATAAAAGTTCCTTTGTCCCAAAAGTGAGAAGAATGAAAAACGTTATGACATATATACATCCGATCAAAATTCGTCTTTTTCTATGATTAAGATAGCTCGAATTGGTTTGAATCGCATTCGAAGGGGGAGAGTGGTTCGAATCATCTAGGTAAGGAACAAGTAAACGATCGAATCCAGGATCGTTCATCTAAAAACAAAAAAACAATAATAAATTAATATTAATTGTTAGAAAGTGCAAAATTGGTCGATGATTTTGCTTTATTATTATATATTAATGAAAGCAACAAACTATGCAAAGCATTATTTTTTATTATCTATTGGAATAAATATTTGTTCGTCTTTTATTTTCATTAATTCTATTTGATATTTTAAGCGTAAATTCTCTATCTTGAGTTGATAATAATCATCTGTTATTTTAATATTAGTATTCAAGTGTTGATTTGAATCCATTGAAGAAGTTGAGATATGTGATAGATGATTTTCATGTCCTTCAATGCTTTCTGTAGATCGAATACAAATAGATGATTTGTGTTTCATATCGTCTGGCAATTGTACCTCTTGTTGATTATTTCTACAACCTCTAGAGTCTTCTCTAAAAGATTCTACATCAATGTTTGTCTGATCATCATCGGAATCTAATTGATGAATAATAAATGGTGTCTCCATACCGATTTCGGGCTGAACTGGTTGTTGAAGTTCATCATTGTTTGTTTGGAACTGTTGAAGAATTTTTTCAATTGATAAATTTGTAGGGAGTATCTTTAGTTTGTTTAATTTACTTAATTGTTTTTGAGTTGTAATAATCAATGAATGATTTGGTGGATAAATCCTTTTTTGTATTTGAATTGCTTCGATATAAAGTAATAAAGCTCGATCATCTTGAGAATATTGAGCTAGTTTAATAAAACAATTAGCGGTTGTTACATAATCTAGGTGAATATTATTTTTTAAAATAATAATTGCTCTTTTATACCAATTAATATCGTCTGATAAATGACCAATCTTCATTTGAATATGTGCGATACTAATATGATTCGAATTGAATAAATATTTTTCATGATTATATAGTTGTTCAAGACAAAACTCAATTGCATTTGTTTGATCAATTTTTTTTTCGTATAAATCAGCGAGTGCACAAATACAATGTATTAATCGAGGATCACCAATAGATAAATATTTCTTTCCCATTTCAAATGCGGTTAAATAAAAATCTTTTGCTTCATTATATTTATGTTGTTTAAATAGAATATCTCCTAATAAACCTTGACACACAAGGATTTCTCCATAAGGGGATGGTTGCACTTGTTGAAGGATTTCCCGTGCATCTAAACACCTATTTCGAGCTTTATAATAATGTTGCTTTTCCATATAAATAATAGCAATATTTAATTTAGTTATCGCAAAATTAATTGAATTATTTTTATATTTTAATGCTTCCTTATAATAGTAATGTGCTTTAGTCATATTTCCAATCGCTTTATAATAATTTCCAAGATGATTAAATGTAATACTCATATCTGAATGTTCAGATGATAATGTTTTGCATTTAAGACGATATGATACGTTGAAATTGTGAAATGCTCCATAATAATTGTTGGTGTGCATTTTGAGATTGCCAATATGATCATAAATAGATGGTAAATCTGGGTGTTGTTCAGATAATACTTGCAACATCATGTTAAAATATACTTCAGCTTTATCATATTGATGCATATCAATCAATAGTTTTCCAAATAAAAGATTAATATTCATTTTTTGAAATTTATTTTTGATTAAATTAATTCTTTGTTTGATTTCTGTTGTCCCTTCGTCAGTTGCAGACATTTTAATCCTCCAAAAATCTTCTTCTTGTTCAATACTTTCAATTTTAAAAACAGTTCCAATATTAAAAAGTATTTCATGTTCGTAATCTGGTCCCAAATGTTGATCAACATCAACGAAAATTGTATTTTTTAAATTAACTGAATCAACTGTTACTTGAAAAATGACAGCACGAGAATTTTCTGTATCTTTCACACCTTGAACAAAGCTGGAAGCGGTAAAAAATGATTTTGATGTTGAAAAGAATCCATTACTTGATATAAGACCACCAATATTTGCTTTAATATTATCAAGTTCTTGTTTTGGTAGATGTGATTGACCACGATAAAGTGTATAAAACTCTTTAAGATTTTGTTCTTCATGAACTTGTTCGATTTGTTTACATAAATCACTTATAAAAAATCTAAAAATATACCACATTGATGTGTCGTCCGTTCTAAATGCTTTATTGATAAGTCTATAAACAAATGAATCTTTAGTATACCATTCAATTGCTTTTGACGAAGAATATTCTTTACGAAATAATTCGATCTTTTTAAGTTCGCTTTTATCATGTTGATAATAATCTTTTATTTTATTCAACATGAAATCTTTTGCTTGGTCATTTTGAGGAACTTGTTTTAATATTTCAACAAATAAAATATATGAAAAAAGTGTCGCTGTATTATTATATGATGTTGTTGTTAAGGAACATATTGTATTTAAAGAACGATTTTCAAATAAATTAAATTTTAATGATGGTAAAACACGTTCAATTGAAATTTTTAATAAATTATAATCAGTACAAATATCAATAACTTTAATGGAGTTGGAATATTTTTTATATTTATCTATATGATGACAAAATATAATAATAGATGATATTTTCTCACGAATGTCATCTTTTAAAATAATTTCAGCAAATAATCCAGATACAATTAATAATGTTTTACTTTGAAATATTAATTTTTTGTTAATATCGCCATAAAATAATTCAATATTATCATAAAAT